ATAGCAATTAGTTATTTGCTGTGTCAAACTGGCACAGCAGTAGACAGAAGCCAGTTGATTTAAACTGTTATATTACAAGGATTCTACAAATTTCTACAAAAAAATTTTAGTTTCTTCATCAAAATAACTAAATGGATAATTTTAGTATTTCCCAATGGTTACTGTGCTCTTAAAAAAAGCAGAATGTAATGCAATTTATTTTTTCATAAATTTGTCTTAATCCCCAGCTCTAAGCTTACTAAAGATGATATCTACTGATATTATTAGTGATACTCTTTAGGGTCTATTTCATAAGCAGTATATTAAGTATGATTTACAATAAAAATCAAAATAAGTCCATGTAATAATGCTTTACGCTTTTGTCATTGTTTCAGCCTAACTACTGTATATATTACTACAGAAAGACTGAGAAAAAGTTAACTTTAAAGTTCTGGGTGTAGTTCCATGGAAGTTTAGTTTTTACAGCCTTTCTCAACCGCTATTCTGAAACAATTAACAGGATATAAATTCCACATTGCAATGTAAGAAAGATCTATGATTTTAGGGTCAAAATAAGGCTATAAGCGCATGGTTTCTTTAATCTTTTAATTTTTAAATGATCTTTCTTTGATTAACATACAACATATATTATAACATAACATATTTTGTTTTTTCAAGTTAAAAAAGGATTACGTTTTCTTTCAGTTGGGAAAAAAATTACCTAGTTGTTTAGGTCTAGTTTTCAGTCTTGGCACCAATTAAGTCTTTCATTGGCTCATAACGAAGACACAAGGAAAAAAGTCCAGAGCTGACAGCAAAGCAGACACATGACCTTTCAGTACTTGTTGGACAAAGGACAGATTAAAGACCTATCTTCCTGCAGTGTTAAATTCCAGGCCTCTAAAACACTAGTGTCTTTTAGTTTTACTTCATTACTAATTTTATTTTCAAATTTAAAAACTTGAATGACAATCTGAAAGCTAAATTTTAAACAAATTATTGTTGTTCTACATGACAACAACTTGTAGACAGTAAAGGACATGGAAGTGAAAAGATGACTCTGATGACAGTGATGGAAGTGATTCTTCCTTTTCTGCAGGAGAAAGGTAAAAAGCAATAGAGTTGAGAGAAAGATGCTGGGGCTTCCTGAATGGCTCAAAGGATGTAAAACCGAGATCTATTATCACAGTCCTGAGCCTGAATTACACCACTGACTAACTGGGACTCAGTCCCCAACCCCCAAGTGGCAACGCTCAGCCAATTGTGAAACACAAGCACTTGTGAGAGTAGGATAGGATTAGTCATTCAAGGCTCCCTTGGCTTTCAGCAACACCTGTGACCTCCTGGATGCTTGTATGATGTACTATTGGTGAGGGATGTGTTTCTTGTCCAGTCAGTGCTGAACCTTTGGTACGGGGCTGTGTTGCATGTAAAATGTTAAAAGTGAGTGCCTCAATGGCTGGCGGGCCAGAGGACTCTGCCTACACTTCCTTATTCCTACCCGTGTAGTCCATGGGTTCGTAAGCCGCAAATCAAAATTACTGGTTAAAACAAAAACAACGGGCAATTCTAAATTTAGAGAGAAAAAAGAAAGGTCCCGGTGAAACAAGTACAGTATGTCTGTGTCATGATGTGCCTAACAGTGCCAGGTTTAACATTAACATAATTTATAAAATGACAGTAAACTGTTGGTTTAAAACATTAATAGTAGGAAATAGTGTGTCACTTATTGCCAAATGTTTGTAAAATTATGCATTGCAAATGCACACAACTACAATTGCGAAATCATGTTTGCTAGCCCTATAAATTTGTCATTAAAATATATTTTGACAATTGCAGTCAACACAGTCAATGAAAATTGCTCCTATGCCTTTCTTTCATTAATATAAAATCTCTAGATTTCATTTTGTGTTGTAATTATACTGCATAAAATTTGCTAGACATTTTGAAACACAAAACCCATATAAGCAACTGAACATTGATATTCCTGAATTTCAAACATGCTGCCTTGCAGCATTAGACAATTGCATCATGTTACATACACTCTTTTATCCCCAAAATGTCAAACTGTGATGTAATCACTGTTTAGTACACATACAATATTTTTCAACTCATTTATACTTTTATTGGTTCTATTTCGTCCTATTTCTAAGAATAAACCAAGTATGTCATTGTACTAGCTACCACAAGCTATTGTACTTTTTCCATTATTGATAGGAAGGTCCAGTATTTCTGATTTTACAGATAAAATTCCTCTTTAGCAGATCCTGTCTGTTAAATCTGAAGTCTGTTATTGCAAAGTTTTTTTATTGTATAAGATATTTACACAGTACATTATAGTAACTAATATCCTGTACAATATTAACACTATTTGATAATACAAGAGTTCATTATTATGTTAACTAGGTTTCAAAAATAATCATCATTAATAAGCATTATTGTTCTTATTCCAATGACTATACAATTCTAAAATGTGGGAGATTGGGATATATTTTTGTGAGACCTGGGAACAAGTCAGAGGCTTTTACATGTAATTGTGATTTAATTTTAGATTTACATGTTTCATCATATATATGTTCATAGAACAAATCACATTCATAAATCAAGAGATGTCTATATTAAGATTATTTTGGGGTGCAAACAATGTAATTAAAAGAAACAAAATAAGTTTGGTACAGTAAGTTACTTCTTCACCTGAACATCATACAAGCAATATTTGTGTCAGCCTTTTGGCCAACCTACTCCAGACAGTGTGGATTAATGAGGTAGAGATCCCAGTCCATTGGAAAAGGCAAGTTAGCACAACCAATTAACCTGGGAGAGAACTGGAGTACCCAGAGAAAACCCATGGTAAACACAGTATCAGTATGAAAGGCAGAGAGTAATGTAAATGTCTGCCTTTTAGTAGTATCCTCATGTTTTTTACAATGGTATAGAGTGGAAGAATACCCTGTGTTTATGGTATACATCAGGGGTCTGTACAGAACATTTGAAACCACAGGAGCTTTTATTTTTGCTAATACAAAGTGATACATTGAAAAAATTATTTGTTTTACCTTTAGTCCCATAGTACATAGCATAGAGTAAGATAAATGCTTGCCTGAAATAAAAAGTTGAAGCTTTGACTGTCAGTAAACTTTTGTGGAAAAGGTGAGTGAGGAGTGTGTCACAGATATACAAAGAAGCAAAAATGGTTGATGTGCTGACTGTCATAATTAAAATTCTTAATTACCCAAAACTGAGTGAGAGATTCTGTAAGGCTGGAATGGAAAAAAACCTTAAGCTGTAGAAGTCAGAATATAACTAAATTTCAGACAAGACACCTTGACATTTCATATTTATATGCACACACTAACAACCTCCATCTGTACACAAGACCTTGGAATCATGAAACAAAATCAACTTCATTCATAAAACCCATCGGCCCTCTGCTCTACTGGAACAGAAAGGGGGCGCATTGAGAGAATCACGAATGAGAATGCGGGGACCTCAATGCCTTGTCATTTGCTGGCGTTATGCGTCACCTGCTGAAGCCTATATAGTAAAGCAAGCACTCAACAATGATCAGCTGTCGCCACAGCACAAAAAATTCAAAAAGGTATGCCTCAGAAACACCACACACTCAAACACTACTTAAATTCCCTGCAGTGTGTTCTCCTGTTAAACCCGGTATGTGTGTTTGGATCTTACAATTTATTTAACCTTCTTCCAGTATTGCAAAAACTGACAGCCTCCTTCTTCCAGTATTGCAAAAATTGCCTGTTTTGGAACATGCAAAATCCCAAACTACCAACAGCCATCAAAATATGCCATTTTTTCTTGTAAGTTTCAGGATAACTGTACTGAAACATTTTATTTTCAATAATATGACTCACCAGTACAAATGACAGGGCCACATCTATGTGTTTGCCAAACTGGCTAAACCTTTTAAATGTTAAGATTTCAGACCAGTAGCAACGGAAAATCTTAAACTGCTGAAGGCAAGACTGTCCTGCTTGTAAACACAAATATTGCCACTACAGGAACATCAGATGTCATACAGAAAAACATAAAATACCATATTGCAAGAAGTCTTCCACAAGATGATTATAATTACCATCCACACAAAGGATCAGAGGAGCACATGACATACTGTATAATAAGGAACTCAAGTCTAAAATTGGCATTTCTGTAGGGCTAGGCCAAAAACAAATCGACTGCAAACACTACTGCAGACTTCTTAATTTGGCTTAGCATTACAGACCAAGTTCCACAAAACAAAATCAATAAATAAACTTGCCGTTCAACACAGAATGTCCTACTGTAGCTCACCCAAACCAAAACATGCAACAAAAAAAGTATATGGTACCAGAGAATATATAGACATGATATATAAAACTTACATGAATGCTGATGAATGTCAATATATTAGAAATTGTTATTATTCATTGGTTTTACTGAAGAGCCCAGCAAGGGAAGAAAACAGACAAAACAAAGCAAATCCACGACTAAGTGTTCTCCCCCTGCTGTAGCAATATCAAAGAATAATTGCAGCCTGTCTGTCACCTGAGCCATTAATTTCAGCTGATCCTCTGTCTGCATTCGTCTGTACACCAAAAAGACCACAGATGCTGCACAAAGTCCTGCCCCCATTATGTAAATCCAGCTTAGAACCTGGCAACAATGCAGGCTTATTACAAATGGATAAAGATCTCAGTCAAATCTGGAGACAGAGGAGAAAGCAGTTCATAATGTCCCCCATGCTGCTATTTGTTTCTCCAACAAAAGGTTTAAACATCTCTGCATCTTTTCAAGAGCCTGTCTACCAAAAAACATCTGCTTTGCAGGAGCGCTTGAATAATGCTCTTTCTGTCACAGCCTGTCCTTCATCTAAGGGCATCAAAAATCAACTAGATCAAATCATGCATATCGTTCGGGCTAATATGGTAAAACGCAATCAGCAAAAACACAATGCCACACAAACAATGTAGTCTGCTGATAAATCAAAGCAGGTTTGAGCAACGGGACTGCTGGCTACTTACAGCAGACAGAGCTCCTTTGCATGGTCCTCCTTCTTCAGCACAGTATAGAAGAAAAAAAAAATAACACAGGAGGATGGAGAAGGAGGAGATGAAAGGACGATGCAGAGGAAATTCCACCCACTCGATCCTGCAGACCCACTGCAAAAGGCGCAGCAGAAAGGGCTTGCTGTGCTGACGTCACAGTTTCATGAATGAAGCAGACTGTTTGAGGATTCAGCTCCAGGGACACTGGCATGTGCAGTGAGAGAGGAGGGGGAAGGAGGAGGGGAGAGAGACAACCAATGGCCTTACTGTATCAGCAGACTGGCTTCCCACTAAATGAGTGGTCATAGAGTTCAGAGGAGACCACTGGTGCTTGTTTGTTGTCTCTGTGTGTTCGTGCGTGGAGCCTCTGCCTCTGTGTATTTTGATTTGTTTGTGAAAGTGTCATTTTTTGGTCTTTTCAAGTGTACTTTATCATTTTTGGAAAAACAGACCTGGGATTAAGGGGTCAAAGTGCTAGAATTCAATTTACACAAGCTAAAAAAATCCTCTTTTTCGAACTCACATGACTTCTTTGAAATGATTTCACTACTGGGTTTGAATTAAATTATTAGATTTTAATATTCGGTGAAAGTAAACAACAATGAATATTACGGAGTCCAAATTTGATAAATTACTTAAAGTTAGATCAGATTAATTTGATTCTGGTGCCAAATCTATTTTTAAAATTGCATCATCAATTGTTTCGCATATTTGTACAGGACTTTTCCTAACTCACCCTATTTCATCACTAACTCAAGCACATCAAATTTTCATGGAGCATGTGAATTTATTTAGTACTGAAGCCAGACACCCAATGTGTTAGGCTGTAAACACCTGCTATACAATGTACTGCACTTACACCCTGAGAATGGCAATGGTGGATTGACTATGGCCATATGCCAAGCTCAAAGTGAACTATTCAACTCAATTTGAATTGCAGATGAAAACATGACATTACAGAACTATATTACAAGAAGGTGTCACATCTTTTGAATACTGTATTGAATTCAGTAGAAGTAATGCCAGAACTAGATTTAAATTCAAACTTGTAGAGTTATATTTAATCAACTTGCAAAATGGCTTTTCTGATTGCCAAGTGAAAGTTTAGGTGCTACTTCTAATCATTTAATGTGGGATCTTCTGCCTTAATTATTTTATCTCTTCTATCACACACACCTTTTCAGTACAGCTTTTCAGTAAATCCAACTACTTGATTTCAATCAGAATTAAATGTTAATATTTTCAACCAAACCTGCCACCACAGCACCAGATTTATTGGTAAGTTTTTGCAATTCTGACATTCTAAGACTGCAGAGTTTTCCTTGTCCATAAGCTTTACCTGCAACAGCTAACTCTACAAACTTTTTAAAAAATAATTTATGAGCACTGATAAATAAAATACAAAAAAATACTGTATAATTCATTAAATGAACAGACAACCTAAGGGAATCCTAAAGAGGTTAGAGCCTTTAAACTGAAGTTCTAACTCATTAAATACTGTAGTAGCAAAATAAATAAAAGGTGTGAATAACAATCCACTGTACACTGTACTTTAAGGATTCAAGGTGGAAAGCCTATCCACTGACATAAAAAGAAAAAATGTCTTTCAGCAAATCATAATGCTGCTGGCCAAATACAGAAGCAACTAACTACCACTGATTCCTAAAAAAAACCCAACATTCATAACAGTGAAATCAAAATATTTCCATTAAACTTCATCTTTCACTGGACCTCTAATGGTCTACAATCATACAAAAGACAGAGATAAAGTCAACAGTCTTGGAGCCATGAATTTGTTCCAAAAGATATGTAAAAATATCCAGTGACAAAAAATTTGATTAGGGACAGTCTCAAAGTTTCTCTAAGAAACTGTGGCCACTGTCTGTGTTCTTGGCAAGTTGCAATGATGATCAGCAGCTAATGAAGAAACTAGAATCTAATTAAATCAACTCAGATCTCGTTAGTGTCCATGTCAAAGATAGTATATAATATCATTAGTATGGGGGTTTTGTTGAACATCATGCGTACATGACTTAGAATGATATTTATTGTTCTGTGCAATGTTGCAGGTATGCTGATCGCCGTGTCGATGTTGGAACCTAGACACTAAAAAAGCCCTCTTTCAGCCTTTATGTGGTTACATAAGGCTGAGTCAGCCTGAGGGTTTTCTGAACCCTCAATCCTAATGCTTGATGAAAGCACTTTAATTTGGCCACAGGCAGTGATTTGCTGTATGTTAATGGTGTACAGGAAATGCTTCACAGGTCTTGACACTGCAAACACTTCAGAACTATTTAGACAGAAAAACATCTTTGCATAACCAACTTAACATGACATAACATTCAGCACTAATGATCAACCTAGTTTTAGATTTATTACAAAACATGCTTTAAGTGCAGCACAGAATCTCAAAAAATAGTGGTGGGTCAATAACAAGATGATGGAAAAAGAAAAGGAACATGCTGATCATTGGGGAAAAGCATCTAAACCCCGATTCAAAGTTTTCCATTTTATTGAAATCTCAAAATCTCTAGGAAATAAAAAAGAAGTCTGTACACAACAGAATCCTGCAGTTCAGAGAACTCACACTAATTTAACAATTAACATTCACTTGTGACAGTTATTTATATCCCAGAAAGTCTAGACATGAAAACTGACATAAATCTATAAAAGTATTTTAATTACAGTCATTCTGACAATATAGAATAGAGTAATTATTAATATTTATTAATTTTTTGCCATTTCAGAGGTTTCTATCTTCAACTTAAAAATAGTTCTGAAATAAAGGTACAGTGGCCATGTAAGTCCTCTCCTTTATAAAACAGATCTGCTATTTTACAAAGCAGAGGAAATTCTATTAAAAGATGTAATTCAGATTGAACGGGATACAGAACAAGAGAAACTAACAGACATTAAAAATCTTACAACCAAATACAGTGTGTCAGATAAAAATGAGTTATGAATTCTCTTGAGCAAAATTTACCTATTACAATATTAGTCAGTAATTCAGTAATTACAATTTAAGAAATTCAGCTGAGTTATGTTCTGCTTGAATGTGTTCCTACTACCCTTTGAAGACATTCCCATGTAGTCACAGAAACAGGAATTAAATTTATGTAGCAAAGGGAGAGGGTTAATTAAATATGAATTCCAACTGTTTTTTCTTAAAGGCTACAGTCTGCATAATTCATTCAGTTTTATTGATACAATTACAGCACAAACTTTGGTCTTTCTTTCTCATTTCCAACATTCCTCTATATCTGAAACAAACACAACCTTATTAATAGATTCAACAAAAGTGATAAAAGGAAAGAGACCATAAGAGGTCTCCTTTATTCACTTTTTGAGATGATGCAATTTATATGTAGACTAACCCCTTTGTGAACTTTATACTATACTACATTTGTTTTGTATACTGTGTGGTTTCTTTTTTAAAGACCTTTTGTTAGTTTAAGCCCCCAGTTTGGCATAGCTGAACTGAATAAAATGTCAAGCAATTCAAAAATAGTCATGGAGTACTTAAAAATGTCAGCATTTGACATTATGAATTGTTTAATATGGTTACCTTTTCTTTCTTCTTTATTTGTATCGCTAGCTCTGCCTTTCTATCATGTTTAGCATAAGTCCACTGGTTTCAACAGCACTTCATATAATGGTAGCCACAATGTTATACCTACTGAAATCTAAACACAATGTCAAACTAAAGCTTATACCAGATCCATATATTCAATCAAACAATTTAATGAATTTACCTTTCCTGAAGGTGATGTTCATGGCATTTATCTCCTGTGTGAGACAGGAAGAGATGAAGGATAGATCAAGGGAATGGTCTGTCTGAACCTCTCTTCACCTGCTGAAGAGAGAGGGTCAGAGTCTGAGGGTTTGAATGATCATGAGGATACAAAACAGCAAAAACCCTAATCAGTGCCCTATGATTGCCATCTAATCGGATTGGCCATATCAGTAAGAGGAGATAAGAAATCCTGCTTACTACTTAATGTCCTGTGTGAACAGTCTGAACTGTGGTGTTAGTAGTTCATTACTTCAATTATTTTGTACTTTCTTTTTAAAGTGTTTTTTTCATTTTTTACATAAAATCTTGAATACATTTGCATAAGTTTAATACTTAATTATTCTTTTTAGAATCTTACAATTAGAACACTTTAGTGACTGAAAACAGCAAAGCTTAAGGAGAATACCTCAACTCCGTCCCATTGACACTATATTGAAAAAGTAAGCTGTAGTTGATAACGACAATTTCAAGTTTTAAAGGTAAAAGAAATGTATTTGAGTGATACTACTTGTCCTAGAAATAATGAATTTATGCCTCCTAAAAAAATAACTAGAAGTATTCCTGATCATTACTCTTGATTTTTTAAAGATGATATGGTACAGCATAGGTATGCCAATAGGCTGGAGTCAAACTTTAGACCAACACTAAAGATTAAAAAGTACTCAGTAAGTTAAAATAGATAGGAGCAATGTGTTTGTAAAAGAAGGCAGCAAATGTACACCATATCTGGAAATGGATTTCATTTCATATCATTGTAAAATATTTGCCTACCCTGTATTTGAGTCAATGAAATAGTACAAAAGTTTCTGTCCCAAGTTACCAAAATCTTGATTCTGGGTTAATATACACTGACCAAGACACTTATAAAAAGTAAAACTCTATTTAGAAATAAGCAACTGAAGACACAAGGGTAAAGAATAAAGACAAAGCAAGTAACTATAAAGTTAATTACAGCCCTAAGCTACACTAACAGTGCTTGTTTAATTTGGCTTACTCCAAATCTGATGCTTTATAGTATCCCTATATACTATGGCACCTGAAAAAAAATTGAGTGAAATGTTTTTTCTGCTCCAAGTGAAACTGCAATACTCAAAGTATTAAAAACCTTTTGAGTAAAGCTACAATCAAAAAGACGGCTTCAGCAACAAAAACCTCAATCTATTGGGAAAAGCAGTTTCACAAGCTACTCTGTAGCAGTGTGTGATGGAATAAAACCAAATACAATATATCTATAGGAATCAGGGCTGGTCATGCCACTGAATTTCACAACCTTATCGAGAACACAGACTAAAACAGCAAAGGCTCAGACATGATTTTACTGAAGGATTCAGATTAGATGATTTTGTCGACATGGGCAGGCTACCCCACTGCTATTAGACCCTGAGCAGATGGCCAAGACTCAACCTAGAAAGCCGAGGTCCATTAGCCAGTCAACGCTGAACCAGATCAATATGAGAAACATGGCCTGGAACAGATGCTCCCCTCTGTTCTGAAGAAGATTTGATGAGCATCTAGCTGCTTTAGCAAAGGAAATATTAAATCTAAGCCCACAGGGTAAATGACCCTACTGAGACAGAAAAGTGGTTTGGTTAACAAAAGTCGAGTAGAACAAGTAGAACATGTTAACAGGCATTTCATTTATGTTTTGTGCTTAGTTTTTAAAAACAGGGTATAAAAATGTTTTTGTAGCATTCATGCATAGCACCAAATGAGAAGATGCATCATGTTGTATGTCAATTAAATACATCACAATATTTCAATGCTTAAAATAAATGCATTTCTTTTATACTCATAGGAATTATTAGAACATTTTTGATTTTACTGTTATTTAGAAAGTAATATTTGTCCCTCTTCATTTTGGAATAGCCAATTACTACCCAAATCAGTTTTTATTGTAAATCAATATTGCTTGTGAAAATATATATGAGAGAAAAACTACTGAGTGAATCAGGATCCAACGGAAATCTGTTCTTCAATAGAAATTTAAAATTAAGTCTGCATTATATCTTTTAATTATATTTAACTTTCACATTTATACCAGTACTCATAAAATACAGTATCTAGTCTTACTAATTCCATATACCTCTGTTAGGACAAGTACTAACTTCATTTTATCAAGACTATAGACATTAGTACAGTAACAATAAAAAGCCAAACCCCTAAAGAATGGAACATTTAAGATTCATTTCTAAGCTTTGCAGCTGGGTTCCCACTATACAGTGACACAGTAGCTAAAAAACATGATAAGATCAGCAGACAGAAATTCAACACTTAACATTCAGACAGCCAAAGAGGTCATGAAATAATTTTCAAGAAGGCAGCATTAGACAATTAAACCTAAGGGTTAAAGAAGAGGACTTGTGATATGGGGTATGTTAAACCAAAAAACCCAAGGTGGTTTGTTCTTTGTAACGTACTTCAAGTAGGTAGCTTTATCAGCAGGCATAGGCTGCAAAGAACAAGTAAATGTTTATTCTATGCTGAAAAGAGAAGAAAAGAAACAACGTTTTGGTTGTGGACCCACACCATGAAGAAGGCTCCACAGGCAAAAGGTTGTGCTTCTTTTCTTCTCTTTTCAACATGGAATAAACCTTTACTTATTCCCTAGTTCTTTGTAAATACCCACAGATGTACAGTAAAAGACAAAAGAAAACTCCATGAAAGAAAAGATATCTGTATCTAAGCATTATATATCAAAGCAATTTTGAAATCCAAACTGGAAAAAGGAAAATTTGAGGAAAAATCTAAACAAATATTAATGTCTAAGGAATATATCTCAGTTTCATCTGTACTAATGAAGACTGAACACAAATTGTACACAAGCTACTATTGGTAATAGTAATAGTTTCATATATTTAAAATTTTAGTTAAATGCTGAAGTGCATACTGTAATGATTTCTAACTGATTTCTGAGTAAATAACTGAGTTTTGACAAATTTTGTAACAAATGCTTAATGAAATAGGAATGACCTAGCAAGACAGCATATTTTTGTGCTGTCAAGTTATTTTCTTAGCTAAACTTAAGGGATTAAAGAGCAGTATCCATCTGATTGGCCTATGATGTGGGCTGCACAGGTCTGGATGTAAAGATTTAATTTGGGCTAGAGACAGAAATCAGTAATTTCTCGCTAAATAGAACTACAGATAAACCAAACAGTTGCCAGGGCTCAAGATCAAACACTATAACTTAAAAACATTAAATAGTTCTGCTTTTCTTTTTTTCACAAGTTAACATGAATCTGCTCTTTTGTTCATTTGAATTTTCACTGTAATATTCATTCTCCCTCTCAAAGCACTATAGGGAATATGGATCAAGAAAATATTCTAAAGAATCACAGAAACACAGCTTCTTATGAAATGTATTATATAATTTAATTCAAAAACATTAAAAAAGAATCATAGAGCATTTAGATTATGTAACACAAGAAATGTTTTCTGCTTGAACTAAAAGGCAGACTGCCCTAGCCTGGAAGCATGTTACATCCCACTATCCACCTAGGAGTCTCAGTTCTTCTGCTGGCTCTTCAAGCCTTTGCTGGGCTCATTCTTATCAATCCAATTTTAATATTTTAATATTTTTCTACTTTCTACTTCTAAACCTCAGAAACATACAGGACAATTTCTAACTCTATAGACAGTTTCCAGCTTCTGTATATAGACTATCAAAACAATCTACTAACAATTTTTAGTAATGAACATTCAAGATCTACATTAAGTGCAGGTCTATTGTGGAAGTCCCACTGGGTCCCTTCAGAACCCTTCATGGTTTGTTTTTAACTATAAGCAGAAATAAAAGTAAATTAATAATAAACAAAGCATGATATGAAACAAAGAATAGATTAAATCAATGTTAAACTGAAGCTACCAGGTGACTTTCAGATTGCCATAGAGTTTTTGCTACCTGCATGTAACACTGCACATTAATTTATTGATGGCTTTTTTGTCTTCCTTTGCAGATCCTTCAATATTTGCTAATTCTTGCCCTTTGTTATTGCCTAAGAACACGATCTAAGTCACTGACATAAATTAAGAAGAACAATGGACCTAATAAAGATCCCAGCAGTACTCCAATAATTAATCACCTCGATTCGGGCACCGACCCCTTATCTATCATCTGTTTTCTATCCATTAATCACTTCTCTACATACATGGATTACCTACATTACTTACTACCCACAATTTAAGAATGAATCTTTTATGAGGATGTTTATTTTAGAAGGAAAACCTTCTGAAATTGTAAACATACCTTAAGTGAAGTGTTATATGGTAAGAAAGTAGAAAAACATCAACACTTTTCAATAAACAAGCAAGAAAACTAGAGAATGAGAACTCGACAGGAAAGACAAACTTGTCCATTCATTATTCACTCAAACTCACATCCAACACAGAGAATAGCGTACCTTAGCTCCCCAACCTGAGTTAATGTATCATTAAGCCATGTCTCCATGGTACCATCTTCCTGACCTGGCACGTTCTTGTGGCAAGCTTTGTCCTTCAGTGCAGTTTGCTGGAGGCTGTCAGAGCTCACACAAAGCTGAAATCTGTAACAATCTGACTGCAGACAACATTCCCCAGCTGAAACCCAGACTGAGGCCGTTGTGTAAAGCACACCAACAGAGGTCTGTTTCAAGACTTCATTATTATTTTACAAGCATTGGAACAGCAACACTGACAGCTCGTATGTCCTTAAATTAATAAGATACAATTCTGAATTGCAGCCAATGCTTAACAGTGTTTACTGTCAGCAGCTTCCACACATCAACAACTTCTCAGGAAAGACCAATGGCCATTTTAGATTTGTGACTCTAGTTACAAGAGCTATTGTTAATTTGACTTAAAAAAAGCACAGATGAGCTCAAAGGACCACAGGTCTTAGTATGAGTGAATCTTGCACACTAAAAAATCACATCCAGAAGTTTACCAAGTCTTGCATTTTCCACTGCTTTTCATTCTGCATTAGTTTGCAACAAATCACATTTTGTGTAGAAGAATTTGCACCTTTGAACATGTTGTTTCTCAAATATAGCAGTTAATTAAAAAGATACATTTGTTTTAAAATA